TCCTTAAAAAACAGAGAGTGTAAAGGGAAGAGAACAGAAGGTAACAAAAAAGAGAGGAAGAAGGCACAACATTTTATGTTCGGAGACAACTCTTATTTCTACAGCAAGAGCAGGAAGTCATCTATGTCATCAAGTCTGGATTGGAGAACTGAATGTCAGCCACATCAGCTGGCAATCTGAAGAACCAGCTTCCATGTTAGGTGAAGGACAAGATGTTCTGCTGAGACAAGCATCCAGAGAACGCAGCAGTGTGGTGTTTTTTTTTCCCCTCCTTGTATTAAGTTTGACTTTGAGAAAACACTACTAATTTTAAGATCACCAGTTTATGCAAAACTCCTCATCTTTAGGGCATGTCAGACCCCAAACTCCTCACGGAACATCAGCAGGTGATGAAGTTGAGACAGGAAACCTCCAAGTAATCCCACTACCTTCAAAATAATGAGATGCGATGGGAGGCATGCTTGGAGGCATCAGGTTAGCCCACTCCACACGGTGCATTTAGATGAATGCCTATATCTGCAGCATTTCAACAGAATACAGGTTATTCTTCAGCATAATTCTCTTTGAGGGAAAAAAATTAAGATAATTCTCAGCAAACTATTCCTCAAGAAGTTCCACTTGCATGCACCTTCTCTCAACAGATGTACTGCCTGTGTACTGTCCTGTCATACAAACAATAACTACTCTCTACCAAATGCTGAACCAACCTGAATCATTAGGCACTGTGACCCCTGAGGCAAAGTGTGAACAAATCTCCAAGTGTCTACATAATATCTGAGATAAGAAATTCTTTAATGTAGCTACAAAAGTGGTTTAACCATGTTAGAAAATACTCTAAATAACACCCTTGCAGTTTCATGACATGTCTGGACACAGCTAGCTATTTACTAGAATGGTGACTGCATGAAGGTAACTGCAGTCCTTTCAGGGGAAACATATTGGTATTTCCTAAAGATCTGGACAAGTGAAGACAATGAAACAGCCTCAGCGCCAGATTTAAGTTGCACATTTTCATGCCTAGGGTAAAAAAATACCACGTGTACCAGATATAAATCAGGATTCAGTTGTCTATTGAGTCCAGAAGGATCAAAAGCTTAAGGTCATCTTGCAGGTAAGGTAATAACAAAATTGAAGACAAGAGAGTTTTCCAAGGTAAGTGTGAATGGATCAGACAATCACTAAGTTAGAACTAAACAAAGTAAGGCATCTGGAAAAAGTGTAGAGACGGTCTTTGAAGGGGAAGAACTGAAACCAAACCCAAAAGCTTGAAATAGCCTTACACCTAAGAATGCCCTTGAGAGCAGCACTCCTCGCTGTCAAGAAGAAAAGGGGGCTGGATCCAGAGACCTGGTAAGGTGTTATTCAAAATACTATTACTTGAGAGCTGATCCAGCCCCCTACTCTAAAGGCCATTGAAGGTAAAACCCCAGGAACTTTGATCAACTAGAGGTTGGGAGAGATAGGTGAAGATGCTAACCAGACGGACCTTCATCAAGCAATGGGAGAGACTTATCTCCAGTATGTATATAAAGATAATTATGGTGAAGGCAGCTGGAGACAGGAGAATGACAGGCACACCACAACTGTCCACTCATCTAAGTGCGTAAGTCAAGGGATGTTTTCTTTCTCACTAGCTAGCTTGAACCATTCCTACTGGAGAAAAGAAAAAGTATTCTGAGGACTTTCAGCTCTACTAAAGATCAGGGTCAATCAGGTAATCCAGGTCCTGAGTCAAGAAGTTTGGGATGAGAAGATGTCTCAAGCCTTTTATGAACTGCCAAAGGAGTTTCTGAAACCACCTCCAGTGTGGTTAAGACACACTCCTTCCACCTTATTTATTCCTGCCTTAGTCTAAGACCTGTAAAACCAGTGGCATGGAAGGGAAACACAGTTTACTTCTTCACCGCAGAATAAGCACTGCAATAGAAATCCTGGACACTAGCCCATTCTTGATCAAAACCTGAGGCCTCCTTTTAGCCTGCTACACAAGGGAGTTTTCCATGGCCTTGTCCCATTCATGAAGAGGATTTAACATGCCAACCAGCCAGATGTCAAGTACTGAGTTTATAATGTAAACCTGACAAAAGAATACAGCTCTCCCATGAAGCCCATGGGGGAAACCATGTTAGGGACAGTACTGCAGCAGGCAGCTGTCTTTGTAGTCTATTTGTTCTAGGGAAATACAAATGGTTTTGATGGCACTTCTCTGAATTGGACACAGAGCTGAAAAGCAGCCTAAGACAAACCTATTTTAAGAGAAAAGTGCTTATTAACCTGAACAGCAGTCTGGTAACCCCTACTATCCTTTTTTATAGCCAGCATCTAAATGGTGCTGATGGTTACACAGCATTAGCAAGGTCTCCTGGGCTATGGTGGAACTTTGGTATTCAACTTCAAGACGACAAACACCTTGGATCCTAGCATCTGTCACATCATGTGTCTTCATATTCTCAAAGGTAAGAGCTAGACTGGATGTTCTTTGGTCCTGTATGTCCAGTTTGCAGATACAATGCTTTACCCTTCATAATTCTGAGGCTGCAGATTTGTCCACATTACTGGGAAATTCGTATTTCCTTGTAAACCACGTTCAGTGGCATCGATCTTTTTAACCTTGTTTTTCTTTATGCTGCTGTGTAAGTACTTCAGTCAGAAACGCAAGTTAAAGCGTCAAGACAGCCAATAAAGCCTCAAATCTGTTGCTCAAACTCAGCTTTATTAAGACTCTGCCACACTTTTATTAAGTATAGCCTTTAACACTGATACAACCAAGACACTGAATTAAAGGTAGCAAAACTTGTCCAGTCTCATGGTACTAATAGTTTTAATACTTAGTTTTGTGATATGATTCCAGGACAGTGTTGAAATCCTTCAGAGATGTATTGTTTACTGCTTCTTAGCACCAGCTTCTGAAGTTTTACATGGAGTAGTAGATTTGTCATTAAACATTTTACATGTCCAACAGAAGAGATGTCCTCAGGGCCATCTCTGAGGGTCTTAATATTAGGACTGCACTCAGAGCAGTCCCCAGCAGCTGCAGACTTCAGTACTGGATATGGTCGCATTCTCCTCAGGTCTGACTCTAAGGACATGTGTCCATTCCCCACCCCTCATCATCTGGAAGTAAGCTTCTCTCTGCAAACAGATGTACAGCAAGCAGCTTATCAACTGCCTAGCCAAGATGTGGAACCTATCACAAGATCCTCTGAAGTGTGCTATACCAGATATAAAAAAGGGTTCAATTGCCTACTCAGTACAGAAGGATCAAAAGCTTACAGTAACCTTACAGGTGAGGTAATAATAAAATTGAAGTCAAGAGAGCTTAAAGGCTTTCCAATTTGCAAATGAACAGATCAGACATTCACTAAATCCTGTAGCACTGCCATTCCAACTTTTGTGGTCTTGGCTGACCATGTAAAAGAGGTGCAAGGTTCATGCATAGGCACAAAACATGAAGCTACTTCAAAAAAATTCACCTGGGGCAAGCACATACTGTCGAAGCATCCACAAACACACAAGAACAAAGCATTTCTTTTTGCTCTGGGATCCCATCCGTGCTTTGAGGGCTGTTTTGTACATTGCACATGAAGTAGTCATCACATGAAAACAGAAGTCCTACTAAGAGCAGGAACCACAGACCTAGACAAGCCTGCGTTAACTGGATCAACTTTTATCTTAGCTACAGAACTGTATTTGCTTCTGTGTCCTTAGGCCCCATGAATCTTGTATTCATAGTATCCATAGTTCAAAAAAGCGTGGCTTGAAAGGATCCACCTTCAGTCTTGTATAGAGTCTGATAGTTAAGGCACTTTTGTAGGAAGCAGGAGATGAAGATTTGAATCCCTTCATGTCAAGAAGGAAACTGAACTCAGGCCTCTTTCCAGCAATTAATCTAACCATCGAGCTATTTCAGGAAGCAGGCATCCTCACAAACTATGGCCTCAATGCAACTGGTATGCACTGGCACACAGTATGGTCAACCGATCACATAACCAAGTCAGAGGCATGCAAGCTACCATATCTTCCCTCTCTTCCTCAGATAATTGAATATGTTAAGTTATACCCAAGACTTCTAACTGTAAGCAGATTCAGAATGGAGCCAAGGTGTGGTTTTACAACACAGATGACCCATTTTAAGCCCCAGGCTGCTACCAACATGGACAGTTCCCCTCCTGCATGTTCATACCTCCTGCTTCAGGCTAGCACTCCTCTGAGCCCACAGAGTGCAGACCCAGAGAACTAAACTGCTGAAAAGCATCATTTTGTGGCAAGGTCGGTTTTCTGCCAGCTTCGCTCCCTGAACTAGCTTATGTTGGCTGGCAAACCCCAATCCTAGCACAAGAGGCTGCAGAAACACACAGCCTATGTGGGAGAGGAAAGGAAATTGGATCACCCCTTTTAACTGCAGCCCAGAGATAGATCAGCTCAGTAGTGTCATAAGCCTGGAAGCACATTCATACTCTTCTAACTACCCCACCACTGCATTTCCAGATCCCAGAGAAATTTAAGCTGAAGCTGTAAGTTTGCTCCTGGGTGGGGCAAATTCAGGTGCACACAGAGAAAGCAAGAGGTGAAACCTTAGTATCAACTTGTTCAGAGTTCTCCCATTTGAAGCAGATCCAAAGCTAAGCAGTTGCTCAGCAAGGTTTCTAGACCAACTTTTGATTCATGTCCCCTTCGGGCACTACACATTGAGTAGTTACAGCACAGCATTTTAGACAGATGTACACTTTTTAAAGCTTTTTGTTACCGATTCAGATCTCTTGACTGACATTTTTAAACTACATTTCTTAAATGGCACATGCCTATAAAACTTTCAATAAGGTGAATTACACTATTAAAATAATATATCCCTACATTAAATATCACTTCATGCTACATCTTTAACCATTAGTCACTGCCTGTCAAGATTAAAGACCAAGTTTTGACTACTGCAGCTGTATCAAAGACCCCTTTCACAATACAGATTTCCAAAAACACCCAAATGAAAAGTGTTTACTTACGTGCAGAGAATTGATTGGTCCTCACGGTCTGCAAAACAAGAACAAACATGGTTACAGTTTTTTGTTTATACTGTCCTGTAATTTGCAAGACAGTTTATTTTAAATGAATATTTTAAAAATTCAGCTTCTCAGCTTAACAATTCTAAGGACACTCTGAAGCAATTTTAATATCATCCTTTCAACGTTCCAGTTCACACACACACACCCCTCAAACAACAGCTTAGACATTCCTAAAAGTTCTGCCATTTCATATAATAAAGCCAAAATTTTGGTCAAATTTAAAAATAATCCACAGTAATCTTTTTAACCATATTTTCAGACAAAGCTGGCCCAACATCTTTTATTCTGTATGCACCCTTTCCCAGATTAAGCAAATTATTTAAAATCTTAAGTATTAAGCAAGAAAAAAAAAAAACCAGTTTCAAGTACACAATACTAATGACCAGACACTTGGAAATAGCACTAACATCTCCAGCAAACAAGTGCTTTACAACTTTTTTTTTTTCCTTTTTTTAATGAACATGCAAGCCTGAAGTGCTTCCATAATTTAGCTTATTCATTAAAGACTTGTCAAAAGGACATCCAGGGAAATACTGGACAGAGATGAACTCCACAATATGGTACAGCTCAGCACTTTTGTGACACCCACTGCCGCGCTCATGACCTTTGAAAAGAATGCCTGAAAGTCAGTTATACCCTGCAAGAGGTATTTCATAATTACAGGATCTTTACAGAATGTATTTCAAAATCATACATTCTGTATTAAAAATTATATAATCAAAACATTCAAATATACCTGCAAAAAAGTAAAATGTTTCAGTTAAAGGTGTTCTCCACCCCCTGTTTGAGCCAGGGTTTTCAATGAGTTCAACACCTTTTTCATAAATCTGCATCACAAAGATCTTGCTTTTACACTTCAGCTGTTTGAGACTAGCTTCAAAAGAACACAATCACCTCCTGCAAGCTCAGAACTTCAAACAGGTTTTCTGTTCTGATCGGTAATTTGTAATGGATTATGTTATAATAAACAAAATCAAGCTTTATTTTGTTCAAGTGTAAAGCTCAGGACTACACATTAGACACCCTGCCACTCTCCACATACACGCCTTCTTCTTGAACACAAGGCTCTGATGGACTACAGGAAGGGAGCAATTGGTATGTTAGGATCATTATTCCTTCTAGGACACAGAGTTCAATACTAGCAGGATGAACAGACAGCTTCAGCTGCTACAAGGCAGCTTCCCCACATGCTTAATAGGTTTGAAACAGATCTATGTCCATATATACAACCTCAATACATTTATGACCATTTCTGGTAAGCAGAATAATGTAAACAACATTTCACACTGTTTCTAAATGGGTCCAGAAAAACTACTGTTAAACTGAGTTGCAAATGACTGCTGAGTTTTGCAGACTGTATGAAACCAGTCATCCTACCTGTGCAATGAGCTGAGTTCATAGCACTGTTGGATAACAATTAGCGTTGAAGCATAATTTCAACTTTAGCTAGGTAGCATGTAAAAAAAAAATCCAGCAGTGAATTGTGTTTCCCCCCACTACAGTGCCTGATGAACAACCCAGATACAAAAACAGTTCGTGTTCAGCCACATCAGCTCCCTGAGCAGGCTTGCCGCCCAGCAGCAGAAATACAAGTTTCAGCACAGACAAGCAGGACTGCCGATTGGGGCAGAGACAGACACCTGGATTTAGATCATCATGGGCTGCCAGGGAGCCTGGCGACCAGGGTATACAGCCAAAGGACTGCTGCTGAAGGGACAATCGTGTCCTGTCCCCTTCCTCCAACTGTGCCAGCACTCATGTCAGTGTAGCACAGCCAAGAGGTGAGCAGAAAAGCTGCCCAACAAACTGTTTTTCCGTCTGATTTGTGTTGAGCTGAATCAGTGCCCTCATACACTGTACAACTGTACAAAAAACTGTACTGGAGAAAGGAAGACCTGAGATCCCTTTTCTACACAGCAACCCCAATTTACCTTAGATCAAAAGGCTATGTTCATACAGACACAACGCACCTAAAGCAAACCAGCTAAAAAAGACCTGGTCTCAGCAAAATATTGTTATTTTAATTAGTTTATGAATAAGAAGTTTGAAGGACATGAAGTCAAGTCTTTCAAAACAGGCAGATGCTACCGCATATTGCCACAGCTGGCTAAACCAGAGGCTTGTGGACTGCACCCCTGGCAAGTTTTAGACTACATTTTAACATCAATATTACAGAACATATGAGGTGCTTTCTGACTGAAAAATGTTAAATACATGCAGACAGTTGTACTTTGAAGCCCTTGTACTAGCTTGTTCAAAAATGGCACAAAATACCAGTGATCCTCTTACCCATTGTGCAGACAAACTGCATTGGGTTGCACTTCACCACGAGCACAAGTCAAATGCTGCACCCCTGTGACTATCTGTGTCCTGCAAGCAGATGTTAGCTCCAAAAATCCTACCTATAGGGTAACAAACAGAGCAGAATGATTGTAGTAGGAGAGCAGAAGAATATTAGTTTAGAGTATTAAAAGTGGGAAAGAAAGTAAGATTCAAAAAGTTGGTGATACTCCTGAGAAGACTGCAGGGATGGTACCAGATCATTTCCTACATCTGCATGATGTACAGCAACTCCTGTACAGACACACCAAAAAAAGGAAGGGAGAAGCCTGTGACTGCAAGAGATAAAAGCTGAGAGTAGGCAAAAGCAGTGGGAGCATGACAACAGAAATGTTAAGAGAACACTCTAAAAAAGTTAATGTTCTTCTGGGTTTGATATACAGCAGCTGGTCTTGCAAGCCCTATCAGAAATGACTTTTTGGTACCAGCAGGAGACAAACCCCAGAACTCCAGCAGTTGGATGTACCTTATGCCCAGTTGTCAGCATAAACTAGAAAAAAGTGCAACTTTCTGACCATGACCTGTTTCGAGGGGTAGCTAATAGTGACTCATGCACTTCATAGGCAACTTCATACGCCAGCAAAAAATCAAGATGACATAGAACAGTACAAATCATTTGTTCTTTTAGAAGAAATTGCTGAATGAATGCCAAGTTGCTACCATGAGCAGAATGGAAAGTTAGTATTTCCTAGCTTTAATATTTATTGAGACAAGTGACAACTTGATTTCCCCCTTTCTCGCTTCCTAAGAATAACTTCTCTCTGTAATTTTGTCACTGTAGCTAGGCCACTTCACCGAAAAAATAGTCTCCTCTAAACTACAGCTCTTCAGTTTATCACTTCTTAAAAACTTAAGAACACAGGTAACATTTGCCTTGAAATTGAAAGTAGTTTATTTGAAGGCAATGCCCATTTGTCAATGCTTTGTATCATGTCATATTTTACCTGTCAATTTACCACATAAAGCTAGTGTTCCACAACATGCAAGACAGTGTATAAATGAATTTTCTTACCCAATTAGTCCTAGAGAAAGTCTACAAGTCTGGACAGTTGTACGTATTTTGTCATTGCCAGAAGCTCCAGCAAGTGCAGCAGAGCTTTTTTATTTTCCATGTCCAGGAGCCTGAACTGACACAGATCTTATGAAGAAGTTATCTGGTACTCAAGTATGCTATTCCAAATCCATTTTTCTGTGTCCATCTGGACTCTGAATCTTACAAACTATGATAGTGGAAGTAAGACAACAGCAAGTTTCAAGTTTTGCCTTCTGATCACTTTTTTATGCTAATGGCCAGTTCCAGCATCTAGCACTCAACTAACAATAACAAAAGAATTACAGCTTGAAAGATCAGGATGCTGCTTTATGCATTGTCAAATGCCGGATGTCTTTTGCCCCAAGAAAAAGAACTGATCTCTCCGGACTCATTCTGAAAAAGATTTTGACAAAATTACGAACATGGAAGAGTTATTTATGGTTTGTTTGATTTGATTTTCTCCTCCCCCAAATAACACAATTTATCTGCAGTCTTGATTTCAAAGCAGCTGGTCCCCTTCCTAAAGGCGCCTTAGAGCACTAACTATGTATCTGTTAGCCTGTCTTTTGAAAGAACTGAGCCCTTATCTAGCACTTTTACCAGATTTGTTATCTGGGGCAAGGAAGAAGCACTAAACTTCTCATCATTGTACATATATCTCAGTAATATTTAAAAAAAAAAAAAAGTGTGTGATTCTCTATAGCCTATCTTCAATCTGAAGGGCAGCAGGCAGCCCACAAGACAGATTTTTTTTTTATGACAGAGAACACGCCTAAGTCTTAAAAATAATCTGCCATCCTTTGCAAAAGTTTTAATAGCAATTTTTTATTAAAGCCACAGAGTTTTGAGGTGGTTGTTCATGGAAACCTAAAAATATTTGGAAAACACTTAAGTTTCTACATAAGTCTCGTGATTCTTAAAACAGACCAAAACCAACTCTCTCTAGCAAAGTCTTCATGAGATAACATCATTCTATATTCCTACAAATCTCTTTGTCTGATGTTATAAAGACTAGACCAATTCAACAAATCCCTTGGGATTTATAAGCAAACTACAGGAGTAAAAAGCAGAACAAGTTAGCAGACAATCTTCATCTCCAATCTTTAGAGCAACTGAAATAGGATATACAAATAAATTACTCTTATGAATAGCATTAGTAAATTTGACATTAGTTGCCTCTGTTACTCCATCCAAAGGGTGAGAAAGTGTATTTGTCTGGAATGGTTGATACTCTGGACAAAGTCACAACAGGTTTGTTACATTCTGAGCACAAAAGTAGACAATTTCGGGGGGGGAAGCACCTATAAGACGACTTAGATAACACAACTTTTGCTATTAGCATAAATATCTTTCAAGTTACTCCCATATAACACAATACAGTTTCATTATAAGGCTGAGCCAAACTAACAACTGCCAGTCTCTTAGGGAAAGGTATACCACATTTCTGCCACACCAACAGCACAGTTTCTGTCCTCTGAGCAGACCCTGGTGCTTGTCTGATCATAGGTTAAAGCAACTCAGCTCACTAATCAAAGATATTCAGTAAATCAATGTAACTCAGTCAGATGAATGTAAGCATGAGGACAAGTATGTGG